GGGGGAGAGGGAGGTGTTACTCAATTATTTTTTTGAAAACTTGTTTCAAATGTGGGATTAAATCACCAAGAATTTACTCATTTAGCTGACAACCAGTACGTTAAAAATGCATTCAATCAATGTGTTTTTGAATGTCTGAGTACAATACTCCGTTTTCGTGTCGGGTGCTAGCCTGTTTTCTTTTTCTATACTCACGGACTTGCCAATGTAAAGAAAAGTTATGAACTTTCAAGACCCAGTTTGCAAATTATATTCAGAACAAAGCTCATAAATCTATTGTAGTTGTGTCCCTTACTTTAGGTGGAGCATGAACTCCTTGATTGGAGAGAAATGTATTTGAAGGGTTTGGAGGAAGGATTACATGGCCAGTTCCCACTATCTTGACTCGCCGTGTGGGTGGAGTCTGGGTTTTTTTTGGTTTTGAAAAGTTGTCAGCTATTATGTAGGGTACTTAGATCACTGAAACAAGGGCAAGTCTTCTACTCGATGTGATATCACCTACAAACCTTTTTTTGTTTGTATACAGATATACAGCATAACACTGAGAGGCCGAATACCAAAGACCCGAAATCACGCTTCTGTTGAACTGTGCCTGCTGTCCTGTTCTTTTATTTTTCTTTATCTTTGTAAGATATCCCTTGAACTGAACTACGGATCCCTCAAACGACCGAGGTGTGTCCCGAAAAATTCGAGCTGTTCGTGTTATACATGTACTTTATGAGTTTAGTGCCCCACTAGACACAAATAGGTCATCTTGAAGATTGTTCGCTTAACATTGAAGAGAGAGAAAAGGAAATGGTGTTCTCGTGCACCAAATAAACAATACTTACTGTTTTCAACTGGCATTCATTGTGATCAGAGATTAACTTTTGCCTTTCAAGAGAGTGTTTCATTTTTAAAATTCATTTTACGTTGTTTTATATATCATCATACATTTATCAAAGACTCTCAGTTCTTGTGTGTGCCTAATCATTTTTTAAATCTTGTTTGATGATAACAGACAAATGATTTATTATGCATTAAAGTCCTGGGACTGAAAAATCATCTGATCAAAATGCAGCGTGTATTTTACTGTTTGTCCTTTAACATGTGCAGTGAAATAAAGAGATACCAAATTTGTGCTATTCATGCTTTTTGGATTGTTTGGTCTAGCAGTTACTTTTCACTGCACTGGGTTTTGTATTGTAATGGTTAGGCTCTTTGCTGCTGCGGACAGGAGATACCCCGCTCAATACGTTTTCTGGCCCCTCATATAACAGTCCCTGTGATAACAGGCTTTCGGCTTTAGCAGTCTAATAATAAATCCCGAAGTCTGATCTCTTGTTATGTGCAGCAGAATTAATAACTGTGCTCAGCCATTAGTGATCCAATCATTGGTAAAACTAAGACAAACTGACAAGAGAACAGAAAAAAAGCAAATGAAATTTAAAGAAAAATAGCAGCCTAAATCATCAATTGCACCAATGTGAATCGCAGTATGCCTCTATGATTATTTTGTACACACGTGTGTCTTACCATTGTGCAGGGGAGGGAGGAAGAAAGCTGGATGCACTCTTGTTTGTAAGTAAAGAGAAGCACATCAATAAAATAATGGTCATTTAGTGCTGGGAAAAAGTACAAAGACAGACAGACACAACAGAGGGTAATAAAAGCAGGACCTACCAGTGGTGGTTTCCAACTACCCTGGCACTATTGTGTTGATACAAATCCAGTCAGTGATTTACTATGATCTTGATCTAACATGACATCATATTGTCTTGACGTGGAGTAAATGATTTAATGAAAAGTATCGCAGATCTGTTTATAGGTAGGAATAATTGTAAAGTGCTCAGAGATTGCTGGAGACTGTAGATGCGCTACATATAAATACAATTATCATGTAACTTGTGCATCTCATGTCTAGTCAACCCATATATCTTTATACTCTTTTAGAAGTAGGTGTTTTTACACCCTCATTGATGGAGTTTAGATCATTTAGGAGGCGGACTTCCAGCCCTGCCTGTCAAGGCCAACCCGGACTGAGAGGGATAGTACAACATCCCAGCAGAAAACCCAAGATACCCGATGACAATTTTCCCCTCTTGGGAATTGAGCTCAGGTCTTCTGTGTGCAACAGAGAAGCACCTAACCACTACATTACTACAGATGCCGGTATATTAAGATCATTGTACCATACTAGAAAAAGGTAGATAGCGTTGAGGATTTTTTTAAACGTATCTCTGCCTGAAAAAGAAAGGAGCCAGACCTATACACTGGACATCAGTAATGTTGGGATATTAAATTGTATGAACAAACTAGTTTTATTGATTTTAGTATCTTACAAATAGATCTACTGTGGAAACCATATATAACAGGCCCGGTAATAACAGGGATCCGGTTATGAGGGAATTTTAAATCCCCGATTTTTCCTTCTCTTTGTCTTTGTTAAAAAGTTTTCGGAAATAACAGTGCATCATTGGGGCCCAATTGGTAATAGCAGGGACAAAGGCTCGTTAACAATGTGCAATAAGTAAGAGAGAGAGAGAGAGAGTAACACAGTGATGGAGCAAGCCCATGTAATTGTAAGCCACACCACTGCAAGCACACACAGCGGGCGAAACGAGAGAGGGCTGCTGTGTGCTGCAGACTTCGATCTAGCCCTAAGCCTAGCTACACGCACGCGTAATAGCTGGAATAGTCCACAAATGGCATTTCTGATTTAACAGGGATCTGATATAACAGGACTTTTTCTCTGGTCCCACTATCCCTGTTCTGGTTTCCACTGTACTCAAACTGAGCCTTACATAAAAACCAGTCATACTCCATCTACCATCTTTAATGTTTTTCAGCCATCATTCAAAATGAAACCATAGAAAATATATGGTGCCAATTCTCATGTATGAAGACAGTTTTCTGGATGGTACTTGACTTTTGGGACACCCGGTATAGTGTAAGCCTGCGTCACATTTACAGTTTACAGTAGCCTACCCTTGTGTCTATCAAGAGAAGGCAAAAGAAATGTCCGGAGCAAATAGGCATATTAATATAATGTGCAGTCAAACCCAGCTGTACCGCCTGCCTTGGGACGAAGTTAGCAGTACAGCGGAGCTGGCAGTACGAGGTTTTCATGTCCTCTGATTTTATACATGTAGCACAGACTGTCTAACATCAAGAGAACTTGTTTACCAGTCACTAGATGAAATAAGTTACCTCTCTTCGATCTGTCCCTTAAGACTTGAGCAAGAGTCCTCACTAAATAAAAGCCCAACAGGCATTGGCCTGCCTATAACTATAATAAGTAGATAATTGGACTGATATCTGGTGACGCCATAATATGTTTTTTACTGGGGGGCGGGGGCGCGATATATCAAGATTCCTTTAAAGTTACTCCAGACGACTTAAAAATGTATTTCATTTTTTTATGTTATATTGGCCAAGGTCTAAATAAAATAGTATTTTCATATTAATGAGCAAAGTTGGATTCATGCCGGGAGCAAAACTTGATGCTGGTCATGACCAAGATGGGATGGGCGGGGAGGGAACAAATCGGCCAAAAGTGTTTGATCTAGACTCTAGACCTAGGACTAGCTCGTAGACGTGTCAAGCAACCACCGAGTGGATCATGTGCCATGCGCCGTGCGTAGCCTAGTGTGTACTGCGTACTTCTGGTGGTGGTGCAACGGGATAGAGCCTAAATTTACAGCAGAGTTAAGTAAGGAATAAGGACCGTACAACTGAGACAGTTGGCTGATAGCGGTGAAAATGTGCAAATATGTTTACATGTATACACTAGCTGGGCCCCCTTTCGACGAAAGGAATGATCGGTGCATTAACATCAACTGAATGTCATAGGTCTACTATATTTACACTCTACTGTAAAGGAGCAGTAAATCTTGAGAGATGCAAAAAAAAATAGAAGGTCTAGATCATTGGTTTTCAAACTTTTTTCGCCCACCGCTTCCTTTTTTCACCCAGCCGAGTCCGAGCGCCCCCTACTCCGTACCAACCATCAATATGACATAACGACATGCATAATATAATAACAATCACAAATAAAGAGAGAGCTAAAAAAGTAGGGTACAAAATAAAGTGCCTAAATTCTAATGATTTGGTTCTGAATATTAGTTGGGTTACAAATCACCATCAATACAGTCTTAAATTAAGCGTGTACGAGAAGTAATAAAACACATTTTTCTTCACTGTCATGCAAGGGCATTGAGA